TTTTTTATTTAAAAAAGATTGATTTAAATAATTCATTAATTATTATTAATTTTTTTTAATAATTGAACATTCGTATACATTATTGTATATTTGTTTTGTTAATTTTATCAGACAAAAATGAATAGGATTTCAGAAAACGTTGGGACACTTGAGACCAAGAACACCACCGGAGGTTCAAGAGAATGCAGTGAAAGATTTGATTGGAAGATTATTAGGAAATGATTTAGTTAATTTATTCGATGTTCATGTTGATCCTAATCTAGGACCAGCAGGAAAAGATACATTTCAGGTATCGATTATTATTTTGAAACGATTAGAATAAAAAAAAAAGGAAGAATGATGAATTAGGATAAACATTTGAAATCGATATTTGTATGATTATTATTATTAGATAACAAAAAATGATGCTGGTTTAATAGAAATTCATGGTAATTCTGGTGTAACCGTAGCATGGGGTTTACATTATTATTTAAAAAATTATTGCAACGCTCATATATCCTGGGATGGAAATCAAATCGAGTTACCTCGTACCTTGCCAGATGTTCGTGTCATGATTAAGTCAAACGATAGGTTTGCATTATTACATTAGAAATATATTTGCATACCTAATCATCATCTTTGAAAAGAAAATTCATGAAATTTCTTTGACAATTTTTCAGATTTAGGTATTATCAAAATGTATGTACGTTGGGTTATAGTTCAGTTTGGTGGCAATGGGAACAATGGGAACAACATTTAGATTGGATGGCCCTTAATGGGATTAATTTAGCTTTAGCATTTGTAGGACAAGAAGTCATTTGGGAAAGAGTTTATTTCAAGTTAAATTTAACTCAAGATGAGATTGACGAACATTTTGGTGGTCCTGCTTTTTTACCTTGGTAAACAAATCATTTTTTTTTTTTATTATTATTATTATTATTATTATTATAAGACATTTTGTTTGTATATTATGTGAAATGATTTTATTTGAACGAAAGGTCTAGGATGGGTAATATTCGTGGATTTGGTGGACCATTGACTGCTAATTGGCATCGCAAAAGTTTACGTTTACAACATCTTATACTTGAAAGGATGAGAGAATTTGGAATAATCCCTGTATTACCTGCATTTGCTGGTCACGTGCCAAGAGCCTTTGCCAGATTATTTCCAAATGCCAAAATGACCAAGATAGATAGTTGGAATAAATTCGAGGATAAATATTGTTGGTAAATTGATTATTATTACTATACATAAATATTTTTATGTCAATTTGATTATCATTTTGTTCAAATGATTACGATTCACGATTATATTTGCAGTCCTTACTTATTGGATCCCACGGATGAATTGTTTCAAATTGTCGGTGAAATGTTTTTAAAAATGGTATATGGTTATTTATAAAATAAATATTTAAAATAATAAATGATATGATATGATATATATATATATATAATTTTGTTTAACATTTTTATAGTATATCAAAGAATTTGGAACGGATCATATATACAATTGTGATACTTTTAATGAAAACGAACCTGGTAGCAGTGAATTAACTTATTTAGGAAATATTTCAAGATCTATTTTTTCCGTCATGAATAAAGTAGATCATCATGCTATATGGTAATATAAAATATATTACAATAAATATTAAAACAAATCAAAAATCAAATGAATATTTTTGAAATTGTTAAGGTTGATGCAAGGATGGTTGTTCGTTCATGAATTCACTTTCTGGACCGAGCCCAGAGTTCAAACATTTTTAACTTCAGTTCCAATAGTAAGTAAAAAAACAAACAAAATAAAAAACAATTACAAAAATTAAAGTACAAATGTTGTAATATAATTTTTTTTACAAATATTTTTTAATTATCAGGGACGAATGATAGTACTCGATTTACAATCGGAACAATTTCCGCAATACAGAAGATTAAAGTCGTATTATGGTCAACCATTTATATGGTGTATGCTGCATAACTTTGGTGGTACTTTAGGAATGTTTGGTTCGGCAGAGATTATTAATAAAGTATGTACGAATTATTGAGAATAATATTTAATAATTAATGAATGAGTTAAAAAATAAAAAAAAATACAAAAACATGTGTGCAGATCACACGTGTTAAAAGTGAAATCTTCAAAAAAAAAAAACTAAGTTTCCAAAGAATGAGACGAATACAAAATATCTGGCGTAGGATAATTGTATTCTCTTCTTATTTAGTATCGCGGCCGTTTCATAGCCGCCTACCGCTCCGTTACATTGCCGCCTACCGCTCCGTTGCATCGCCGCCTACCGCTCCGTTACATTTTTTCAAATCACCCCGATTCTAAAGAAGTTTTCACTTCAAAAATATGATGCAAATGATGAATGAAAATCAGTGTTATACGAAACACTGGGTTTCATAAATTATTTTTTTAGACATACATATATTTAAATATCATTTGTTTTTTTGTTTGAAATATTTCGTATGAAATATTTGTACAGAAATATTGTAATTTATTTATGTTAATAGCGTGTGTTCGAAGGAAGAAATATGGCAGGTAGTACAATGGTAGGAACAGGTTTAACACCAGAAGGTATTAATCAAAATTATGTCATTTATGAATTAATGAATGAAATGGCTTATCGTCGTGAACCCGTTGATCTTGATTTATGGTAAATAAATATAATCAAATATTTCTCTATTACATTTTACATTAGTTTGAGATTATTTACATTTAAATATAAAACAACCATTTTTAGGTTTGAAAATTATGCTGTTCGTAGATACGGTGCGTGGAACGAGTATACCATAAAAGCATGGAAAAATTTAGGTAAAACTATTTATAATTTTAACGGATTACAAAGGATTAGAGGAAAGTACGTTGCTACCAGACGGCCAAGTTTAAAACTTTCCACTTGGGTAAGAAAAAAAGTGTTCCTATTACTTCCTAACGAATGAGAACAAAGTTCAACTGATTTTAATTCAATCATTCCAAAGTATTTATTGCTTTTTTCTTCTGTTAAACTAACTAAATTACTTTTTGTTTTTGTTTTAAAGACTTGGTACAATCGTCAGAATTTTTTTGATACTTGGAATACGTTCATGATGGCACGATTTGGAAGATGTAACAGTACATTGTACAAACACGACGTTGTAGATATAACCAGACAAACATTGCAATTGTTAATCGATTTAAGTTACCTTGAAGTACTTGATTCGTACAATAAAAAAGATCTCTATGCACTTCGGTAATAATACAAAATCTACGTAGGGGCTGGAACTTAAATAGTTGCCAACTATTTATTCACAACCGATACAAAAGAGTTACATGTTTGCACCTGTTACTGTCCTTCAAAGTAGTCACCCTAGCGTTGTGTAGAACCCGTTAGCAGAGCCTGTTATTGTTGATGAATCTAATGAAGCGGTCTACTGCCTGTCAAATCTCTAGAACAGTTCTGAAGCGAATGTCACGAAATGGAAATGGTGGAATCACCACAACTTTCACCATACTGGGGTTCTGATGCACTTTCGTGGTGACCCATAATGATGTCATTCATTGGATTTGCGTTTCAGTTTTGGTTCCAGAGATTCGACAGGCAGTAGACCCCGCTTCATTCGCACTATCAACAGAACAGGTTCTACTAACGGGTTCTACACAACGCTGGTGACTACTTTGAAGGACAGTAACAGGTGCAAACATGTAACACTTTTGTATCGGTTATGAATAAAATAGTTGCCACTATTTAAATTCCAACCTACGTATTTTCAATATATTATAAATCTAAAAATCAATGCAATTAATTTGAATGATTTATTTAATTAGATCTTGGTCATCGAACATAATCGCATATTTTAACGATCTCGAAATGATACTAGCATCGAGTAAAGATTTTTTATTAGGCAATTGGTTAAAAGCAGCAAAATCAATGGCGGATAATAATGATTTAAATGAAATGAAATTATACGAATACAATGCTAGAAATCAAATAACTTTGTGGGGACCAAACGGTGAAATAAGAGATTATGCTAATAAACAATGGTCAGGTGTAATCGTTGATTATTTTCAACCACGATGGAAAATATTTCTCGATGCTCTTCAGGATACTATAAGTAAAAATATTAAATACAACATTACAGAAATTAATGAAAGGATTTTTCGTGAAGTCGAAGAACCTTTTACTAGATCGAATAAAATTTATTCGACTGAACCCAAAGGTTATTATGTTATTTTTTTTTTTTATAGAAAAATTTCTGATACGTGACAGAGATAATAAAAAAAAGATATATTTTTCATTTTATTATTATTTTTACAATATTATAAATTATAAATTATATATGAAATATAATATATTGTATATTGTAATATACAATATATAATATTATATGAGTAAAATATTATATTTAATTATTGTATAAATATTAATATTATATTTAATTTATTAATTGTATAGAAATTTATTATAAGTTTTGTTTTATTTTATTTTATTTTATTAATTTTATTTTATAAATAATTTGCTATGCTATAAATGATATTTGTTTGACCACGTCAATTATCAGAATATTATTTCGAATACTTTCGATCTCTAATTAAATTTGTATTTTTAATTTAGGTGACCCTATCGAGATAGCAATGAACATATTATCCAACTGGTACAGTCCTGTTCTGATGAATATTTTAAGATTGAGAACATCATCACGAGTTTCTTCATACGAATTCGATTTATAATTTAATTTCATTTTTTTAATTATTTAATATTAGTCAGTAATTATTTTCATTTCTTAATCATCATCTTTTAAGATTTTAATGAACAATTATTTTATTATTAATGTTATTAAAATATATTCATTTTTGTAAGTAATAATATACACGTACCTTTTTTTTTTTTTTTTTTTTTATTCTAAGATAAAAAATCCATTTCAGCAGCAGTTTCCTTGCCATCAAATTTTTGTACCTAATCAAAAGTGGATTAAAAAAAAAGGAATTAAACGTACACCTTAGTCTCATAATTCTTTCGTTTCTTCATATATTAATAATAAGAGATAACAGTACAGTACAAAGAACGATCTAATTAAAATTATAAATTAGTAGATAACGTTGAAATAATAAAATGTCGAGCAAATAGAAGAATATCAAATGATTATTATCCTTGAATTTTTATTTAAAATATTCCCTACGAAAAATATTATAAATATTCATTTAATTTTTTTTTTTACCAAAAATAGATCGTCAAATATAATAATAATAATAATAATAATAATAATAATAATATAAATGAACAACGATAATGCATATGGATTATTAATTATTAACAAACGGGAGAGATAAAATAAAATAAAATAAAAAAATAAAAAATGAAATAAAAAAAATAATTCACCGTAAAACGTATCAATAAAATCTTAAAATAATATATGGCAAGTAAAAAAAAAATAAAAATAAAAATAAAAATCCCCAACTTTAAAGAAAAATTGCTAATTAAAAAATGCATATAGTTTTAAATAAATACAAAAATAAAATAATAATAATAATAATAATAATAATAATGTTAATAATAGACAGTTAAAACAACACACTTGTCGCATTCGTCTAATCGCTCGATGATAACATGGAAATATAATTTTAATTTCATATTTCACGCGTACACACATGCGTAAATTATATATATATATATATCTTGCATAATTTAATATCTTCCTTCTTTTTTTTCTTATTTTTTTTAACGTGTGTATGTGTGTATATATATATATATTTTTATTTAGAAAGATAGTGCGCATCTAAGTAGAACGTACAAAATATGTTGTTGTGCATTTTATAAGAATAAGATTTCGGAGAACGTTGTTTTATTTTATTTTTATTTTTTTTTTTTTCGAAAGAGACATCTACGAATTGAAATATACATAATATACGTGTTTTATTAATTAATCGCCTTGTATATAGAATTTTTAGATTTTTTTATTTTTTTTTTTATTTAAATGTTCTTCTTTTTTTTACCTTTTTTTTCTTATTTATTTCCTTTTTTTTTTTTTATTTATTTATTTTTTTTTTTAATACTCAGAAACTAATGTATAGATTGAAATATCATTTTTGAATTTGTTTTTATATATTTTTTTTTTTTCGTCTTTTCTTTTTTTGTTTCTTTTTTTAATTCTGATTTTCGTTCCGTTCCTCATTTATTCCTAAATATCATCGATTGAATAATAATACCCGTAAGAACGTTTTTTTTTTTTCACAGAAAAATTTATTCGCAAACGTTTCGTTGAAAAATTTCATTATCCTCCTGGTCACTCATGATCAAGTTTTTTTTTTCTTTTTTTTTTTGTAGACAAAAAGAACAAGAACAAAAAATTACTTTCATTCTATTGCATTTATTTTCATTTTAAACGAACGTTCGCGAATCGATTTCCGTTCGATGTGCGACCTGTGCAAGTATTGGTACATCGTGTGCCCATGAATTCAAACATGAAAAACTAAAAAAAAAAAAAACAAATACAAAATATAATTTCTTAAAAAGGAAATAATTTAACAATTGACGAATGAATTATTCACGAATCCATTTCTAAAATTGTTTTATCAATTATTTCAAAAACCCAACATATATATATATATATAACAAATATTAATTTAAATTAAATTATAAAAATAATTTTTCTGTTTTATAATAACTACAATAAATATTTAATAAAAATATTTCTATTTGTATCACGCGTGTACACCGTTTTACAGAATTAAACACAGGTCGCATTCGTTTGTAAATATATCATTATTATTATTATTATTATTATTATTATTATTATTATTATTATTATTATTATTATTATTATTATTATATAATAAATGAGATTATTAAAAATGTATTTATTTGTAATCGTAAATATCGATTATTAAATAGGATATGACTCGAAATCGCTGTACGCGAGCTTTCGTAAGCTATTCGCTAGAAGATTCACACATTTTTGTATTATGGTCCCCCGTGGTCTTAATAAGGTCCGACTAAATCACGAGTCTTTTCTTTTTTTTTTTCTATTCACATTTTCCTATTACCACCACCACCACCATCACCACCCCCCTGTCATCTTTTATTCTCTTCCCTCATTCATCCATATTTGTTTATTTTTTATTTTGTTATCTCACTAATACCATTTGCTTTCGTATGTACACGTATTTCATTTATGATCACCATTCCTCTTGGTCGTGTGCTTAGCACCATTGGTTGTACGGCGTGTGAGAAAGCTTGGTTTGTTTGTTTGTTTGTTTTTTTTTTTTAATTTCAATTTTTTTTTTTTTATTGATCCTCCCCAGTTATCGGTGCTTCTTCTTTTTTTTGTTGTTGTTGTTTTCTTTTCGTTTTATTTATATATTATTTTTATTTTTTTTTCCAAGCGTACGTCATCGATACTTCCGTTCTAAATTTATAAGATTGATAAGATTTTTTTTTTTTTTGTTGGTTTAGATTGGAAAGAGACATTTTTTTTTTGTAACGAATAAAAGTGCGAGAAAGAGAGAGAAAGTGATAGAAGAAGAAATAGATTTTACAATTGTATATATATATATATATATATAAAACAAAATAACAACGATGATATAATAATCTACTTTTACGAAGAATGTTTGAAAAAATTATTTCTTTCATTATTTTTTGTTTTTTTCTTCACTTTTTCTAATTTTTGTAATTTTTTTTTTCTCTTTTTTTTTCTTTTTTTTTTTGGTTAACCCTTTAACCAAGGAGAATTTTGTTTCGTCTCATGCAAATTCGTTATTTTAATTATTAATATTATTAATATTATTATTAATATTGTGATTTTTTTTTGTTTCTTCACTTTCTACTTCGTTGAACAATCGATCAATAATTTGAGGAAGAAGAGTTTTTTTTCTTTTCTTTTTTTTTTTTTTTAAATGTTAAAGATTAAATCTAAACTAACGAGGAGCGTTTTCTTTCTTTTTTCTTTCTTTTTGGTTCTTACAATTAAACAGTAATCATTGATGCGATCTTATTTTAAAGCTATGATTCATTATAAACGTTATTAAACGAATTTGGAATGTTCAAAATACACACTTATCATAGATCGTATTTTTTCTTCAACATTTTTACACGTCAACGTACCTTTAATTAAGACACAAAGAAAATAACATTATCTCTTTTTCGTTTAAATATCTTTTCTACGAATTATAATAATTATTCGTACGAGATAATTTAAGTGATGGATCGTTGTATGTGTCTCGTGAACTCTTCGAATAATTTTTGTTCTGACATGAGTTCAATGTTTCCCATTTTTTTTTTCTTTTTTTTTTTTTGTAAAATACGAACACAGTGTGTAAAAAAGATTCAATCGATTTTTACGAACGATAATCAGAACTATTCTATAAAAATAATTTTAATCGAGACACTTGAAAATGAATCTAACAAAAAAGAAAACAAATGTGCAAATCACACAATTAAAAAGTGAAACCTTCAAACCAGCAAGTTTCGAGAGAATGAGACGATTTTATAGTATCATAAATCAATTAATTTATTATAKAATATTATTATTATACTATTTTTACTTTTATTTCGAATTATTTACTAAATAATGATAAAAATGTGCGCCTGTAGATATGCAACCCTTCATACACAACTTGAAAATGTTGCTTGCGAGCGTCATCTGTTGGGACGGAATTTTTTTTCACTCCAAACTGTTCATACACGTGTGTATCACGGGTTGTCTATCTTTCGGACAGAAAAAATAATTCCGTCCCAACAGATGACGCTCGCAAGCAACATTTTCAAAGTGTGTCTGGAGGGTTGCATCTCTACAGGCGTAATATTTTGATATATAAATAAAATAATAAAAATTTAATTTTAATTTTGTAATTAATACGCTTCGTAGTATGCAGTAGCGCATAAACACAGACACATATAAAATAGGAAAAATTGTATACTATATTCTATCTCATTCTCTCTTAAGTTAAATTCTATAAATCTAAATATGTGTTTGTCTCTTTCTCTCTTCTTACAAATGTAGCCCATTCTTTTCATTTCATCGAATTATTTTTGTTTATTTTATTTATCGTTACCTGTCGCTTTTTCATTTTCAAATCATCTCCACTTCTAAGGAAAGTTTTCACTTGAAAAAAATAAAAAAATAAAAAAACAGTACAAATGTAACTTCGTTTAACTAATGTAAATATAAGCGAACTAATTTGTGTTCTAATTCCACAGGGTTTCTCAAAACTTTGTTTTCCACTTTGCCAACTCCCATTAACGTATTATCTATTCCGTAAGTGTAATAGTCGTTTGATGAGAATTTTCCATTTGCTCGAATTTGAGAATTTTGTTGGATCAAATTTAAACGACACCTCCTTGTACACAGAGTATAGCAAACGAGAGTAGTCATAGTTTGAGAAACCCTGTTTTAATTCAAATCGAATGCAAACTATATGCAATATTTAAATATAATATTATATATACATGGTTCGTACAATCCTCATTTGAATATTCCGCATCGTCCTTATATCTCTAATAACACAGTTACTATTTCTTATCGTGCAAATTCTAAATCCGGCCAATCAAGTGTCTTCTTTTCTTTTTTTTTTTTAAATTTGTAATCCAAGAGAATCTCAATCTCTTTTCGTTTTATTTTACCCAAGACGAATGATTCTTATGTTTAATATTTTTTCTTTTTTTTTGGCACGGTTATATTCAACCAACAACGTTTGAAGCTCGATTTGTTTAATTGAAAATGAAAAAAAAAAGTGATTAACACGTTTGTCGCCCTACCCGTTTCAATTGAGTTTGAGTCAGGCCCAAAATTCGACTGTCATGTGGTTATATATTTAATTTCATTAATATAATTATTATCTTTTATTTACTAAAAAGAAATAAAATATAAAACTATCTTTTATTAACCGAAAATAATTTTGTTGCTTTCGAAATGGGAAATGTGATAAATTTTTTTAATTAAAAATCTTATAACTTCAAGAAGAAGAGCGTGTCACCGTATACGGTGACGGGGCCGCCTTCAGAGAAGCATGCCCATCTTCGGTATACGGTGCCATGGCGATGAACGTGTTAATCAATTTCAAATAGAGATCACATTTTATACTAAACTAAGATCGAGATTTAATATTCGATAACAAATTGTCATGTTCGTTGCTTTTTCCTTTTTTTTTTTTTTTTTTTACATTATTTAAAATATCCTTTTTTCATTATAACCGGCATCATACCGGATTTCTAAATAAAATATTCTAATCAAAAGTGTATTATATTATATTATTCAAGAGAGAATATCTTCTACTTTTCTAAAAATTGCATAGCAATAACGTGCGTCTTCTTATCTAGACGAAATTATTAATCATTCAATCAATTCATTTCATTTAATGAACTCACATTGATCGTCATTGTGTGGGTTTTTTTTTTTTTTTTTTTTATATACTTTAAAACTATAACTCACGAGGAAGAAAGAAAAACAACTTATAAACAAGTTGTTCAGATTGCAATGATTGCAATAGTTCAGCATGAAAGATTGATCCTTACAAAGGGGTGGTTTTTTTATGAAACGATGCAACAACCCTTAAAGAAAGAATTCAAATGAAAACTAACAATCACGAATTAATTCGTTTGTTTGTTTTTTTTTTAATCTTTTTTCCTACACCCCCTAGGAAAAAACGTTTGTCTCACGTGCACCGATTGCAGTTTAACATTTTTCTTTTTTTTTTTTTTTCTATCGAAATGAGAAAGACAGAAAGAAAAAAATGAAAAGACAGAGATATCGAAGATGATAATTAATAAAAGTGGGAAGAATGAGATTGATTTTCGTTGATTCATTTTTGTCGACCTCTTGTTAACAGCTGCTGCTTTTAATTAATTAATGAATGAATGAATGAATGAATTAATTTCCAACGGATTTAATGACGAACGTATCACCGCCTCTCGATTTCTGCTTCTTGATTCGACGCTTCCGTCACTGGTGGCAAAGGACTCTCCATTGATATTTGCCTGAAGGATAATTATCAACTATGATTGATAACGCCTGAATAACATTGATGGGAACATTCTCTTTTTTTCACTTTCTATAAACTTTAAACCTGATACGATTGATTTAACTTTTTTTTCTTTTTTTTTTTTTTTTTCAAAATTTATACAATATTTTTATTGTTTCGTTGATTTGACGATTTAATCTCTTCTGTGTTATTTTTGTGTCAATTAAATCATTTGAAAAAGTATTTTAAACAACGTTATTTTGGCTTGTTGCATTTCAGGTGTTGCATTTTTTTTTTACACGTAAATGAAACCCTGACATATAAAAAAAAATAAATGTTCATCGATTTGCAAAAATATTTCGAGCAATGATATTTAAACAAACAAAATTTGACCTATCAAATCCTTGCATTATTTTTTTACACGTAAATAAAACCCTAACATAAGATAAGAAATAAATGTTTATCGATCAAATCATTCATAATTTTTTTTTTTTTTTTTAACTAAAAAAACTCATTTAACCTACCCTTGCAATTATATTCTACTTCATATAATATTAAAAAAAAAAAAGCAAAAAAAAGAAGAAGAAGATATGTTTCACCTGTTGTTCACTTGCCAATCGTAGGAATCCGGTGCCGAGTTGCTTCTACCCGATCTTTGAAATCTTTCAGATTTGATGTTTCTCGAAGTGGTTGCACGTTGGACCAATGATTCTGCGGTTCCTTCCAAAGGTAAAGATGATTCCTCTGTCGCATGTTCTCCACCTTCGTTGTTAGAAATTTTGCCAGGAGTTTTTTTCGGTAAAAATGGATTCTAAAACAAACATTTCAAACATATCATGAAAATTAGTTCACAGTTTCAACCCCCTTTTTTTTATCCCTACTCTCTCTCTCTCTCTCTCTCTCTCTCTTTATTTCATTCCAACACATTTTGTTTCCTCCCATTTTTCATTCTTTACTTTCTTTCTTTTTTTTTTTTCTTTTTCTCTTTGTTTTATTTTTTTTTTGTCCAAGAACTTAGGTGAAACGAGAACGCATTTGTTCGACTACATATATCAACCCTTCTGCTGTCTCTTTTCCTCTTACGTTTAGCTCTACGAACAAATCCGACCCCTTTAAATCCTTCTTCACGTGTGCRTTTTTTTTTTCTTTCTCTTTCTCTTTCTTTTCATTTCTTTTTATCCACCTTTATTTCTCTCTCTCTCTCTTTCTCTCTTTCTTTCTTTCACTCTTAGCAACCGTACTTACGGCAAATACTTTATACAAGGATTTTGCATAGTCTTGACATCTATGCCAACTCGGATATGTCAGCACTTTGCATTTTATTTAACCCAGAAATATTATACAGAAGTAAGAATTAATAAATTCAAATTTTACACGATTTTAATTGAAAATCTTTCATCAAATTTTATATATATAGATATATATTCAAATATTTGTATGATAATTTATAAATAAATTGCGCCTGAATTTAGGCAACCCATTGTACCAGGTCGATAATGTAGAAAATGTTTCTTTTGAATGAATGAAATTTTTTTTTTTTGATGATTAAAACAATATTGCAACTCGCAGATGCAATTTTAAATATTTCCTTCCGAGAGATGACGCTTGCAAGCAATATTTTCAATGATGTCTGGAGTGTTGCCTATCTCCAGGCACGAAAAAACAATTACTAATTAATTAATTCTAATAAAACGTTAAATGAAGATAGTTGACAGTCTTGAAGATTAAAAATCATTGAAATTGTTAAGGATCGTTTTAATTTAACTTCAACTATAGTTATTAACTGAAAAAGACAAACTGATAATAAGCTTTTTCATTAAAAAAAAAAAAAAAAAAANAAAAAAAAAAAAAAAAAAGAGAAATGAAAATAACAAAACGAAGGTTGATGAAAAAAAAAGAAAAAGAAAAAGAAAAAGATAGAAAGAGAAGGGAAGAAGACAATGTTTTTTAAACGAAGACGAGAAGATCAAGGTAGTTTATGTAATTGAAATTCAATGCAATTCTTAGATATCCGAGGAAACATCAAGAGAAAGAGAAAGAAAGAGAAAGAAAGAGAGAGAGAGAGAGAGGGAAAGAAAAAGGCCAAGACAAAATGACTTTTTACATTAACCCAGGAGTTGACAAGTTTCCGCTCGGAGGCAGAAAAAATAAGAAAACATTTACACACACACACACAAAGAGAGAAAGTAGTTAATTCTTTGATATCGCTACCGAATACAACGAAACTTACAATTACGTGTTCTTATTTTGTCGTTCTTGTTTTATATAAAATTAATTCAAAATTATCTCGTCTTATCCGTTATATAAATTTTTTTTTTGGTCATTTTTATTTTTCTTCTAATTATAAGGCATTTAAATAATTAACAACAATTTTCAAGAGACACGTAATAAAATATGAAAATGAACTATATATATATATTGTATATATTCCATTTAGTTGAGTTAGATGATCTATCAAAATGGTCATAGTATGTCTTATATTGTTTCACTTTATCCATTTTAATAAACGTATAGAGAAGCACTATGGCCGATATCGTATGTACAATAGAACCGGATTACGTATCCGCACATATTGCGGTTTCTATATACCGCATCCCTAAACGTGCAATCGAATTTCAAAGCGAGTTACGACCGAGTTACGGGGGTATATGCAAGAGGAAGGATGAGACTCAACTAACGGAGAATGAGAATATACGAACTGGTATATCAACCGAATATCAGGATAAAGCACTGACTAAAAGAAAAAGAGAACGTGTGTGTGACTATGTATGTGAGCCTATGAAGGACAAAGAGAGAGAGAGAGAGAGAGAGAGAGAGAATAGTTTCTTTGAAATAAGATAGGGTAAGAGAGAACAACGTTGTTCAGACGTGCTTTCGCGTGAATATATGCGTACAGAATAAACAACAATACTGAACTGAATGTTGTACTTTAACTCGAGCTCGTAACGATCCTTCGAATGATAAGTATCATCATATATATATATATATAGATGAGCTTTATTGTCTAGAAATGATGACACGTTGAACATCCCTTCCTTTCTACGACATGAAATACGACCAACACAAATGAGGATTAGTTACGTAACTCTAACTTACGACTGTTCTGCATCTAGATAAGGTTGATTAATATTTTCAGTCCAACATTGAATTCGTTTCGTTTGCATTTCTTTTTTTTTTTTTTTTTTTTTTTTTTTAGTTAAAATTTCTTTATATTTAAGCTGATTTGAAAAACATTTATAAAAATATTACGCCTAAAGAAATGCAACCCTCCAAACACACGTGTGCAAATGTTGCTTGCGAGCGTCATCTGTTGGGACGGAATTTTTTTTACTGCCCGAAAAATAGGCAACTCGTAATACACGCGTGTATAAACAGTTTGGATTGAACAAAAATTCCGTCCCAACAGATGACGCTCGCAAGCAACATTTTCAAGGTGTGTAAGGTGGGTTACATATCTACAGGCGTACATTTTTATAATTATTAAATAAATAATTAGAAATAAAAGTAAAAATAATATTATATAATAAATTATTCTTCTCCTGATACTATGTTTTTTTTTTCATCGGTCAAATTCATTTTTATTCATCAATGTAAATAATGAAAATATTATTTCTTGAAACTTTGATGTTTTGATTGATTTTTTTTTACTTACTTGAAAGCTGTGTTGTTTGAGCATTTTTTTAACGAGAATCAAAGTATCCAACTTGGGTATTTTGGTGACAACCCTTTCAACTTCTTCGTCAGTAACCGTAACTTGTAATCTACAATTGTCCGTTTCACTTGGTAATGGATCTTTTCCAGTATTCGTCAGCCAATCGTGTTCCTTCAAACATTGCAATGATATTCTATCGTTCGGTCGTTTAGCCAACATCCTTCCTATGAGATCACATAATTCCTCTGATAATTTTGGTTTATCTGGAAATTTTAATGGTTCCGTACGAATAGCATCTTGTACGCCAATTATACTTCCAGCACCGTCCCATGGTAATCTTCCTGTCACCAATGAATAAAGTGTCACTCCCATAGACCAAACGTCGCACGACTAGAAACAAACAAAATATATTTTTTAATTAAATAATAAATAAAAAAACACAATTTCAATAACCTTGAAGATATTTGATGGTAAAGTTTCCCTTATGGTTAGTGTAATAATTGGTGATTATGTACGTGATAGCATAAATATTATCAAAATTTCCAAATTCCTAAACTAATCGAAAATTCATTTGACAACGTTACATGGTATAAGCATGATCACCAATTTATAATACTGAAAAGCCCCATAATATTACCCAACATGGTTAAAGTGTAATCGATAAGTGGACAAATTTGAGATGCTCTGATACATTAACACATGCAAGAATATAAAAATATTCATAAAAATGACACCCTAATTCTCGTACAATGTAAACTCAGTAAAGTGTATCTAAAGTTTTGATTGGTACAATAATTTATGTAAAATCCAAACTACATATGATGATTTTCTAACGTTAATACTGAAATATATAATTAGGATAATGAGTTTTAAACAAAAATTCTTACGATCATTTCAATATTATTACTATTATTATCGTTAATCTTTGACAGTACTGTGTTAACATTTTGATTGATCGTTTATCCTGTAGAAACAAATTATACAGTGCCTGGGATTATACAATCCTTCGGGGCAAATGTTTCAAAAGAATGCGAAGAGAAATTTTTTCATTTTTTTTTTGTTTCATGCCTCGAGCGAATTTCAATCCTCTCGTCGCGATTGCATTGAGATTATGAATTTAACGAACTAGAATTATTTAAAAAAAATAAAATAAAATAAAATAAATTGAAAAGATAAAATGAGGACTGTGATATTTCCATATGTATTTAAAAATAATACATTAATGAGAGAGGGTTTCAAAGTGTGAGTTTGACATAGAAACCATTTATTTGAACTTACATTTATTAAAAAAAAAAAATAAAAATAAAAAGAAAAAATGTAAAAGCTTTTATTTGATTAATGTGAGTTGCAAAACCCTTTTAATCGAACTTCGAACATATTTGAATATAATTATCAATTAAACAAATTTCGTAAAATGATTTTTATGATTTAATTCTCAGAATAATTTTGAAATGAAACACTAATAGACGATATAATAGGTATGAGTATTATGTTTACGCAATTAGTCAATGTACCGTTCCTTTCATTAAAATCTAGCACGGTTGTACATACCAACACCATTAACGGCATTTCGAGTTGGCATCTCGTAAACCATCACCATGATTTCGTGAGTTGGAATTCGTCGTTGTAGTTGATCGTAGTGTATAAGAAAGGTAAAGAGAAAATGATTTTCGTAGAAATTGTTGAAACGATTCGCATTCAACTATGAAATCTATTCTTTAGATGGATATCTAACACCATCAAGGACTTTATTCTTATTTTGTCTTGAAGTAATTAAGCCTCTCTCTAGTGTTCGTGATCAAGTTAATTGTCTTAAATACCAATTAAACGAGAAATTGGAACACACAATGCGGTCAAATTCTTTTCCTTCAAGCGAATATTATTAATTTTCTATAAACAAACCATCGTCAATTGAATTTTAGTAGAAAATTGTTTGTTTATTTGTGTACGAATTATTGAAACATAATATTTAACTTGAAGTTAATTAACACATCTTGCATGGCAAGTGACTAAAGTTGTTGTTGTTTTTTATTTTATTTAAATATTTTTTTTATTATTTTATTATAAAATGTTATCAATTTTTTATAAATTATATTCATATATTAATTTAAAGTATATTGAAAATCTTAATATATATATATATAAATTATGTGTGACGTTGTTTGTCCGCAATGAACTCCTAAACTACTGAACCGATTTTAATTAAATTTTGCACACTATGTGCAGTTTTATTCAACTTGAAAGATAGGATAGTTTATATCTTAACTTATAATCGCAATAGGGCGGTATAAGGTAATTCGTTGATTTAAAATCGTGGGTATCGGATTAATTGTGAATCACAGCAACGTGTGGCAGAGCACTCCTAGTATATATGTATCTATATATCTTTTAGCAGTGAGAATAATTAATCGAATTTCAATTTAGCGCTAACATAAACAACATTAAACCCAGCTAGCTTTGAAAATGACCGTATATACCGTGTGGCATGGTTTGATAGAGATTCGAGTAATCTCGATTAAGCAAACTTCGTTAGATTCGTACGCTCGAGAATACGATTACGAAGGATAGGGCCAAGGGTTATTTACACTTGCTAATTACGCTTGGCATCCACGATCTTAATATATCGGCCCTTTCCAAATCGATAAGCCCTTTTTCCCTTAGATAACATCTATATTATGTAATATATATCTATCGATAAAAGGCTTTAGGATTAACCCAATTTCTAATTTACTTTTCTATCATTTTACTCGAGTTTTTTTTTTTAAAAACCTTAGTGTACTATGAAGACTAATGTTTATAATTAATTAAAATTATTAAATATATATATATAATTTATTATTAATAAATTATGTCGTTTCTACGAAAGATTTTAATTAAAAGTATTCAACATTGATAGTGTTAATTTTGATTTTGATTTTAAGGATAATTAATAAACGAAATAAAAATCAGGTAAAATTGTTTATCTACGATCTTTATTTAATATTTTGATTATAAATGTAAATATAATAATCTACATTCTGGAAAATGTGGATTTTATTGGAAAATCTGTTCGTTCTGTGTAGCAAACATTGAATATGTAACAGGAAAATTCTACTAATGTAAAAAATAGAGAGARAGAGAAAGAGAAATAGAAATAGAAGAGAGAGAAAGTATTTACAAAAATATCATTGATGATTTTAAAAAGAAAGAGTTAAATAAAAAGTGTTATTAATATTTTTCAAACTAAATGAAAAAAAAAAAAAAAAAAAGAAAAATATAACTTAAACACATTAGTAACTTACGTAAACCATAATCCCATAGATAGATAAATAAAAAAAAAAGATAAGACAAAGATAAAAATACATATATGTAAGCGGAGAAATATTTTTCAAAAGAAATATTTTGTTCATTTCCAATATTAAACTCCGAAATGTAAAACAAAAGATTCCAAGAATATATAAAATAGAAAAGTATTGCGTACCTATCATTTGATACTTTTACAGATAAATAAAAAAACCAAACAAAAAAAACATAGAATTTTTCCAACAAAACATTCCACGCGAATAAAAAAAATTTTATTGTAAAAAAAGAAAAAAAAGCAAAAAAAAACAGAGAAAAGTGGTAAAAGGTATTATTTGACAAAAAATAATCAAATAAAACGGATAACCTTACTCGCGAAATTTGATCGTAAAGATGATCTTATCATTTTACGTGCAAACAACGAGATAGAAACAAATTCCGAGAATATTGCATTACAAAAGACGACATTTTCAAATTAAATTGAAAAAAAAAAACATAAAAATAAAAATAAAAATACAAATAAAACGAATATTGCAAAATATATGAAACCTAAGTATTAAGTAAAGAATATTACAACATTTGTGAAGGTAACTTTTAAGGGTTGTTTCTGTACACTTAAAACAATTTAGAAAAAAAAAAAAAACAAAGTTCTGATGGTTCATGCATTCTAAAATGAATCTTCTATCGATTAATATTATTATTATTATTATTATTAGAAGTTAGAAATTTTTCTTTGGTATTTACCGTGCCGGAATAATGAGCGTCTGGTATGGTTGTTTCCGGTGCTGCAAAAGCCGGTGTACCAGCTGGTCCCGATAACAATTCCCCGGATGCCCTTAATTCCGCACTAACACCCAAGTCAGCAATCTTTATGCGACCATCGCTATCCACCAGAAGATTGCTAGGTTTAATGTCACGATGTACTATTCTTTGATAATGTACTGTAACATAAATCAAAATTTCATCATCAAACATTCATGTGTCGTATTGATTTCTGTCTCTGAATATCTTTTCAACGTTTAATTTAATCGCCAAAACATAAGACACCATTTTTATAGAGCACTTAATTTCCTACAAAATACTTCTAGAACATTTTTCTGTACAATCAATAAATAATGAGGTATGAATTTTAATTCATTAGACTGAAAAAAAAAATAAATAAATAAAAAACTACGATGCGGAGGATCTTCCTATTAAAATGAAGAGCTCATATTTGGTGAGAATTTTTTTTTAAGGTATCTAGCAACCCATTTTTCCGTGGCACTTGTACAAAAACAAATAATTGATTATTTTGACCCAACCTAATATATATATATATAATTGTATTTATGTAATTAGGTATTTAATAAAATGTCAAAGTTTCTATTACAATTGGAACAATAAAACTTTAAAGATACAAACTTATGTTGTGTGTGTGTACAAATTTACATAAAATAAACAACACACTTGAAAATAAACACTTACGATATTCGATTCCCATGACAACATCGCGAAAATTTTTCCTAGCAGTATCCTCATCAAGAGGTTTGTCGGTTGGTATTTGAAGAATTTCTCCTTTCTGTACTAACTCGAATACCAAGTAAAGATTATCCTCGTCCGGGTCGTCGAGTACTTCAACCAACTTGACGACGTTCGGATGATCCAATTTCTTCAACAGAGCGATTTCTCTGTAAACCTTTGCCAAAGGATCAGCACTACCCTTTCTACCGGGTGCCATTCTACCAAAAATACCAGCCTTCTTCATAAGTTTCCTTTTGCTTAATATCTTCATGGCATAGTGAGTTTCATCTTCCTCGTTGTATGCTAACTTTACTATACCATATGAACCCTATTCAACAAATAATCATAAAACTTTATCTCATCAAATTTAATGATATCTTATATTTAAGTAATATTTTACATACGTTCACGCAAAATAATCTATTAATTTCAACAATATTTTAAATTTATACAAAATTATTGCGCATATTAGAAATTTATTTTATATTTTATAATATGTCAATCTTCAATATGTTTTCTTTTTTTTTTTTTTTGTAAAGATTTAATATATTTAACAAAATAATTAGAAATTTTTAATATATATTAAAAATATATTTATAACAAATACTAAATATATTAAAATTATAAATATATTTTTAAAATATACTAAAAGTATAAATATATGTATTAAAAATATAATTTAGCAAATACAAAATAAGATAAAATCTTGTAGAAACCAAATTTGCATATACGTATACGTATATATATAAGTATATTCATATAATTAGATATTTAATATAATTCAAAAGTCTCTATTACAGTTTGCAATAGTTAAAAGTTAAAGATAAAAAAAAATAAAACTTATTTTACATACATATATAAATACAAAACTTTAACTAAATTCACTACTAAGAGATCTAAATGATTAAGAAAAAGTACATTTGCGTTTGCAATGAAACGAAAATTGGATTTGAGTTAAACGTTCTCTCTCTCTCTCTCTCTCTCGAACGTAGCACGAATAATAATCATAGTAATGAGACTAGCATTTCAAACTAATCTCGTATTATGTGTAATTATTCGAAAAAAAAAAAAACATAAATAAAAGAAACAACACAATACGAATTGTGATGGTGAAGATTACGAAATAAGGTAAATCGATGATCACAATATAAAACACAACTCTCAACCTCCTCCTTCCCTCCTTCAATTACGTTTTATTATATACTCGTTGTCCGATCGACGACGTTGGCGTAATTAATTTACCGGCGTCGCGACGACGACGACGACGACGACAAAGTAACGAGGTACGATCTCGAAGTACGATGAGAAGGTGGCAAGGGGGAGGGGAAGGGGGAGATGGGGGCCAGCAACGACGACGACGACGACGACGACGACGACGACGACGACGACGACGACAAAGTAACGAGGTACGATCTCGAAGTACGATGA